GATAAAAAGCTGTAGTACCGCATTGCAAACTTTATAGCCAAGAAGCGATCAAAGTTAAACAAAGAAATGAAGATCAAGGATGTCTGTGCAAACACAAGAATGAAAACATATTTGGCGCGATTTGTTCCAAAAATTAATTCAAACACCCTTCTGTCAATGCAGAGAATTAGACAGGAGGCACAGTCAGCTAAGCAGAGATTCAGGGCGAGGATTCGGATTTGGAACGGTAGTTTTCTGCTTCTTAATAATACAGCTAATGCAATGATGTTTAAAACAAAAGCTGGGAACGACACAAAAAGCTGAAAAAGATCGTTATTCGCCATTCTCCGTATCTACTGTGACCTAATATAATATGCACTAATGAATTCATCGGATATTCTATCCATTCTCTTCAGCTGAACTTCATACAATGAATACGCATTGTCTGTGTTGGTATTTTTATAAATCAGAACTGGAGTGAACCTAGGCAGGCGTGGCTTCCCTGTAAGCACCTGTAACCCCTACGCACCTGTCTGGAACTCACAAAATGGCAGTAAAAAGTCTTACAGTTATGGATTTTTATAAAATTAACATCTATATAAGGCTTTCAAAAACAAGGTATGTAATTTGTTCAGCGTCACATTCATTTGTACTTTTTTGTTTAGGAGTTCGACGTGGTATTCTATGATGGAATCACACAGACAGATGCAATATCAGTTCAAAGTATTCAAGAAAGAACATCACAAAAGTACTTCATACACGTATTATTTTTTAAAATTTACCATCCAGATATTTTTGCGTTTCAAAGTGCATTAAACCAAATACACTGTCAATATCATTGTAATCCAAACAAAACATTGAGTGATGGGACCGGGTGATTGAATAATCATTTAAGCTCCAACTTCCAACAAAATCTAAAAGTGAATCAGTAAAATATATACATTGTGATGATAATAAAAAGTCACTCCTCTGAATGGACTTAAGACCTATTCCTAGCGAAAATTGTATTTTGTTTTTCCGATTACAGATTTTTGCAAGTGTGTTATTCAAAGAGAAAATAAATATGAAGATAGCGAACTGAAATCAATCTCCAAAGTTCATTTTAACAATACAGATTTGGAGCAGAGCAAACACGGACATCATCACAGGTGGATCAGGTGAAATGGAGGAGTTAATATCCCCTGTCGACCGGTCACACTCGCCTTGTGCTCTTTGTAATGATCGGGCAAACTGAAAAATCCGTAGACAATTCAGTGTGTTATTAATGGCCTAACAAAACGTCAGTAAGCATTCGAATTAATGACAGAATTTAATTGCTGACTATGTCATTATATCGATCAAAGATTTTGCGTAATGTTGACTTCCAACGAGACTGATATCATTGTTTCATCAACTTGTTGGTTAATAACTTGTCATATTTTAGAAATAATTCGTATATAGAGCATGCTCTTCCGTTACGAATCAACTGGAAGACATTAACTCCATATGCAGGTGATAAGGGTATATTATATTACTACATAAAGTTGACGATAGAAAAGTTGGACATCACGTCTATCAAAGATTTGTTGTTATGCTACCATTAACGTCTTTTTCTATTAAAATACCCAAATATTAAACAGATGTGTCAACTCTTTGGTATCTTTTATTTTGAATTCAATGGGATATATCAAATCAACGTAGAAAAGGCAATGAATATTGTTAATTGAAAAAACGTCGTCGATATATCTAAACATTGAATTGAAGGCCACAGCAAGGGACTTCGAATTCTGTTTTCTTATAGAAGTTTTTAAATAAATTCTGCTTCATATGAGTACAAAAACAGGTCTGATAATAAGTAGGCAAAGAAAATATTTCAATAATGTACAGCGATCGCACATCGACCTATGATGTCGTTACAAACTTTCTAGAGCACGCAACATACCGTTCTCTAATTGAATCCATTTCTGAAAAATGATTTTATTTTAGGAATGACTCTAATTCTTGGCCAAATTATTCGAGTATAACCTGGTTTGGGTAAGTTTACGCTTTATAATCCGCGAAGCGGATCATAAAACAGCGTAAACTGACCCAAACCAGGTTATACTCGAATAATTTGGCCAAGAATTAGAGTCATTCCTTATAATTTAATTTTAAATCATTAAATAACTATGGGTGTAAAATTTCGTTACTTTTTATTAGTTCAAATGTGTCGCTCAATAATACAACCGTAGTAACGGAAGTGATGGGAAGCGAGGGGAGGTAAAAACTGATACATAGGCCTAGCAGCCATGTTGTTTGTTTACATGTGGTAAGATCGAATTATTGTTTGAAGTTAAAGGTACATTTATTAAATCTGGAATTTTCCATGAATCCCGAGGACTGGAAATGAGAGGATTGTATGGACACAGATTATTCAGCTGGTTGTCAGGGGGTGTGTCCCCATACCAAACCAGGTTATACAGAAATAATTTGTGTTCCTTTTTGGATATTAACCAATCAGAGGCTAGATTACAAACAAAATTAAATTATTACACAATAATTCATCTGAGGATCAAAGGTAGGAGTGAAATTTTTTTGTTTTTGTTTTACAACAATCCATCAATTACAATTTACTTAATTTGTATATAAAAAGAAAATCCTTAAATTAATATTGAAAATAAAATACATTGTCATCCTTTCACCGGAAGTCTCTGACAAGACTGTAGCTCTATTGTGTGTACTTATAATAAAGAAAGATGTATCCTTCTTTAGTTTTCATGTGTACCAAGTCTAATTGACATCCGATAAAAACTGTAGGAGTAGTAATGTTTTGAAAAAAAAGATAAATAAATTTAATTTTACGTTTTTCATTTTAGAATTTTTTATAGTAATCCATAAGTGTCTGCAACAAACTAAATTTATCCATTAAGATACCCTTAACGTTTGATAATAAATATTTGGTCATTTTATTTCCTTTGGGGAGCCCCTCTATTAGTAATTTTATCTACCCGGGAGCTCGTGTTCGGATAGTACCCGGGAAAGTTACAGCCACGATAAGACTCGTTTGGCTTGCTCTCTAGTAGCCTGGGCAGGTGACCAAAAGTACATCAGGTATTTACGGGAAATATAATGTAATTGGTAAAATATGTTTTTATAGTTAGAATCTACACATATATTTAGTATACTTGTCCTTTTTCTTAGGGTCCTATTTTCTCGGGCATTTGTCCCGTTTTTTAATGACACAGGTCATGGGCAGGGTACTTGAATTCCTATTGCTGATACTATATCCAGTCCAGTGAAAAAAGGGCGTTGTTTTGGTGCAGCTACAACAGCACTTGAAGGAGAGAGAGAAAGAGTTAGATACGGCAGTCCCAACGGACAACTCGAGAACAAAACATAAAATTTATGTGTTTGAATGGTTATTTGAGAAAGAATTCAACTCTCTGGAAAAATATATTATTTAAATCCAAAGAAAATCATAAAATCATTGTGAAAGTTTGAAAACATTGAATTGTTTATTGTTTGTGAATTTATTTTCAAATGTTTTGTGTGACCAATACGTCAGAGGAAATTCTACACCAAAAATTCTGAATATTTTAAGCAGTTGTGCTGTGATTAATTAACAAATGAGAGGACACGGAGATAGACATTTCATTTCTTTTATTTTCATTTTGTTGTTGTTGTTTACTTTTGTTTATTAAATTTTGTTAAAATTTATTTCTTGTTGTTTCCTTGATTTATTCAAGTTCTAAAAGATATATAACCCACATCTCAACAGTGTCCTCCTTGAATGTTAAAGTCTGAAATATTGCATGGTGATGCATGACAGTGGTCATTTTGATACATATCTTATAAGAGAAGCAGAGATTTACCAACCAAAATTCAGATAACGCGGCGCATCACTCGTCCTTAGCCTGGTTCCCTGTCCCTGTTATGCTTCGTATATATACTCCACGACACTAGGCCTTGCTTTGGCAAGGATAAGCCAGGAAACAAGGCTTCATTCATCCTCTACCTACAGCCTTAGAGGGCGGACGTTGCTTCAAGTCTGTGAGTTATTTGTTATCAAATATATTTGGTGACAAAAATTATTTCATCATGTTTTCGATGGGCAAAATTCAGTTGTCATTCTAGGTCACTCAATTGTGCCTTGTTTTCACGAACTTTTAAAATATGCTGACGATATTGATATTAGATATTTAAAAAGTCTTGATCTTGAAAGAATGCATATCGTTTAGTATACAGGTGTGAAGGTGGAAGGAAGGGTTACGATATAAGATTTAAGAATATAAGAAAAATTGCTTTAGGCCCCGAAACAGTTGTTTTAATAACTAGGGAATAACTAACGATATAATTGCTAGACTAAGTACAATCCCCCATTTTTAGCCGCAAAAAACTTCAGCTATAATACGGTTGATGAATTGCCGATTTGTTTCGAAAAAAAATTGTCTGCAAATTATTGTCAAGTTTTAACGTTAATTTCGAGTACAATGAAATAGCAGACAAAGTGAATGTGGTACTGAAAGGCTCATTGCCATCATTGGCTTATTGTGTGTTTTGGAAACACGGGAATTATTTTGTTTCTCCCTGTGAAGGAGATTGTACTCGGAAATTTGTATGTTACGGAGTTTGCTTGAATAGACAAGGAACTGTACATTTACATGTATAATGTAGTGTAAGGGAGCGTTAATTTCAGACAGAATAAATGATTTTCTAGAAAATAAAACAAGATTGTAATTTTTTTCCGTTGTTGCATATATCACATGGATAGGGATAAATACAAATAAGGACTGTGTTCGAAAATTGGGTGAAGGCATTGTTTTAATCTTTGGGGAAAAAATGATAAAATAAAAAGGTTTTGATGTTTAAAAAACTTCGTAACCAAATTGTTCCATCTTTGCAGAATAAAAGGACAAGTTAATGTCAGGGTCTTGCAATGGAGTTACTTTCGAAGATAATGACCTGAGTAACTTTCAGGAAGAAACAACAGAAAAACTTCAAGGACTTAAAAACCAACTTTAAAGCTATATTATATAACAGTTCTCTTTATAATTGCTGGTCTGTTGAAAAAGTTATTTCATTTTATTAAGAAAACTCTCCTATAAATATCATCAATATGTACAAACATGAAATTCAGAATGAAATAGCACTCTGTGAACAAAAATTTTCTCATATTGCACATAATCGGCCTGTTGTATCCAACAAGAATAGCTAAAGACGGTTTCTCTAGAGTTATCTACAGATCCCTAGATGACGTCATAAATACAGTCAGTAAAACATCGTTAGAAACTCGCACACTGTAAACAATAAGCAGAATTTATGTTAGGTTTTAAAAAACAAATTTCTCTTCAAGAAGTTATTATCCTGGTTTTTTTGCAAATGAATAAAATAAAAAAAATTATCATTATTCTTTTTCAACTTAATAAACACTTTCATAAACTTAAATAAAAAATCACATAAAAACGACCAAACAAAGGGGGAAATGAAACTAAACATGTAATGAATGCTTGAAAGGAAAGGTCTGTGTTTCCAGTACCGTTATGTTGTTTATTTGGCACGCTTTGGTGCTTGCATACACAGTACACAACCCCTGAACATCCTTTCTTCCGAACACAGGCGCTACCACGCACCTTGACTTCTTACTCTATTGTTGTCTCCAAGGTGAAAATTTAACAGGTCCCTTAGGCTTTAGGGAATCGATCCTTTCAAGTCCGCTCTGGTTTCTGAAATATAAAATATACGTCAAGTGATAAATTTTGAAATATTCTAATATCAATATTATTTAATTGATTGCCTATTGTTGTCTGTCCTGCTAGAGCTATTGTAATGTATTCTGAGATGTAAAAGCTGGGAACACCTGTTGTCGGATGAATCTTGCTGTTTTCTCTCTGTGGTTAATTTTTTATTCGTCTTATTTGTCAACGATTATTTATTGTTATTTTTTATATGAGTTATTACGTGTTCTCAGTTATTGTCTGTTGTTCCTTGTTGTTCTCACTTTATGAAAAAAGTTATCTGATCTCGATGAATGTTAACAATTATTTTCTGTTGTTAATAGTCGTGTTTTTGTTAATTTGCAGTTATTGTATGTTGTCAGTAATATTCTGTAGTCTACATTTTTGTCAGATGTTATCCGCTATCGGATATTCTAGTGGTAGGCATTCACTTTTGGATCGGGAGGTGACTGGTTCGATTCTAGTTCCCCGCCCCTACCTACGCTTAACATAGGTAGTAAATGTTTCTTTGCCGAATGCATTAAATGTGAAAGTCACGAGTCTTTCGAATGAGATCTTAAAAACCGAGCCTTACCGTCTCACGGTAGGCGTTGGCATGATAAAGAATCCTTTCTGCTAAATGAACTGAATGCAAAGTAAAGGTCTAATTAAATTAGAAGCCCTTCATTGGTATATGGTGACATCTCATATTAGTGAAAAAATCTCGTTAGGGACGTAAAAACAACAATCAATTTGATGTTTGTGTGTTATTTTGTTTAGTTCATATATAACATAAGTAATCAGTGTTGTCAGTTGTTTTTTGCTCTCGATTATTTCTTCTATTGATTTATATCTGTTGTTTCTGATAATGTCTTATTATCCACAGTTCTTTGTATACTATCAAATGCTAGTATAGTTCGTTTATAATCAGTTATTTCTTGTTGTGCAGTTGTGCATATGACTGGCAATTGTCTTGCATGTATTTTTTTTTGTCTATCCGCGATCATTTGATTGTTATCCATCCCTTATTGCCTGTTATAACAAATTATATAAATACTTTATGTAACATTGAAATTTTCACCCTAAGAAAACCACTGTTAACTGAGGTGCAACCGAGGTAAACAATGGTTTTCCACGGGGTGAATTTTTTTTTCAATATATCCCTTACTACATGCAATTTTTAAATATTATACTGAATGTATTAGAGAAATACATATAACACTGAACCGTGCAAGCATACATTGTGCGCATTCAACATTTTTGGAATATCACCCGTCGTCAAGCAATGTTGACTGTTGTTTCGTGTTGTTACGCTGGAAGGCGGGGCTTCACGTCAGCAATGGTATTAATGTGTTTAACGTATTCTGTAGTTCACTGTACCTCAAATGTTGAGGATATATATGAAAATATAATTATGTCCAGAGATTGGGGGAACTAATGAGTACCTAGTTTGAAATAATTATTGCAGTGTGACCTACTATTTTGTAGCAACTGCATCTTCTGGGGCAACTGGGAAAATAATTGAGGGTAGTAGTCGTTCTACAAGACGCTCGGCTGTCTCTGTAAATCTCGTCAGAGATTTACCGAGACGGCCGAACGTCAGTTGAAGGAGACTAGTAATGTAGATTTTTATCATACATGTATTTTTGGAAATAAGTGACGTGTACAATTTTGACATCAAGGGTCTAAGTTACTATTATTTTCGTACAGGTAGGGCAACAAAACGCAAAACTTCAGATCATTTGTCTTTTCAAGAGATGATAAAATAAAGCTTACACGGTACAGTTTTTCTATACCAAGAATGTCCTTCCATGAATTGGAGCATGTGTATTCCAGTGAAAAAGACTAACGTACACTGTAGTTGCTAGCACTCAAGAACACTAGCAATTAATTGGTGAGAAGTGGTACACATGACTACATAAAATTGTAAGTGGTATTCATCCCAATAATTTAATTCTGAATCATTATCATGGTCGAAGTTTCATAGAACCCCAACAACTGCTTAGAAAACCAGAAGTCATGGACAAGACTGATGCTTTACTGGTGTATACTAACTCTTCATTGTTTATCGTATATTGTCTGTTGTTTTATCTGCAATTTTATATATTATATGTTTATGCCATTAAATATCAAGGGCCCTTTTTACAAAAGAACTTACGACTATATAAGACTAAAAACTTAAGTTGACTGTAAAATCTTGCAAAATTAATTATTCTGTTTTAAAATTGCTAGCATAAAAATGTCTTCATAATTTCTTTTCAAAAAGATTCAGACCATTTTCAGTTCAATGTAAAATAGAAAGTTATCAGCAGAATTAAATTTTAGTCTTAGTCGTAAGTTCTTTTGTACAACGGGCCCCTGGGCTCTGCGTTAGAAATGAATGCTATTCTATAATGAAGAAATATATCTATAGTCCACTTGTGTAAAAGGTCAAATCACATCAAAACTTTAGGAGTAGCAATGTAAAAGAATTCGAAGAAATATCTATTTTCAGTACCCCTTGCAACACCTTTTGTCGAAACGAAATTAGATCAATTAGAAGTATGTATCCTAGTCTTCTTATTTACCAAGTCTTATTGAAATTGGACCAAAACTGTAGGAGGAGTAGTGTTTTGAAAGAATTTCAAAGAAATTTTTATTCTTATTAAACATGGCAACATCATTTGTCGAAATCAAAAGCTGAAACAAAGAATTATGTATCATTGTGTAGTGTACTTGTGTACCAAGTCTTATTGAACTTGAACCAAAACTGTAGGAGGAAAAGCGTTTTGAAAAATTGTTGATAGACAGGCGGACGGACGCTTTACCAATGCATAGGCTCTTCTGGTCTCTTACTAATAAAGCTTAAAGAATATAAGAAAAAAAGTGTTCATCTCAGTTTAAGGGAATCGGATTTAATGGCGGATCGTTTCTTCCCCCCTATTATACTACTATATACATGTACTATATTTTTGCGGTCAGATTGACCCAAGACCCAGTGCTACTACATTAACATTTTTTTATTTAAATGATAACTGTGTGAATTTCTGTTCTACTTTTTTCCATTACATATAAGAAGTGAACATATCTATTGTATTAATGACGTGAAGTACGAGATGAAAATATCATCCGGAAAGAAACAAAACATTACCTGAGTACTGTGAGCTGTAAGTTATTTCCGCTTTGTCGGATCAGGTTCTGTGCCTGCGCATGCGTAAGTTGTCTTGAGTCGTAGTTATTAATACCCAGCACCGAGTCCCCCGCAGACAGTCGACCGGCACAAGGACTATTAGGCTGTACCTAAAGTAATGATATTAACACAGTTATTTAAATACAATAAGAAAAACAACTGGTAAATCAAGATGTAACCACGGGTTAACCAGGGACAATCCCTATATAAATGTGTATTAAGGAATAAGATGTTTTTTAATGAAAACTTGGTAATAATTGGCATGCGAGGATGAGGATACAGTAATTCGATAAAAATCGTTTAATTCGCCCTTCCTAATTATATTTCAATCTTACAGTTATCATAATTATCCTACATCTGGGTCAAATTTGATACATTTATAGATATAAATAAAAACAAAAAGACGCATTGTTTTCATTGCCATCCGTATATCTTCTAAATCACCTTATTTGTCACTCTTTCTAAAGTAATGATAACCAAATAAGGAAACAAAAATAGTTCAAAGGTCACACTAGATTTAGTTGCACAACTGTAGCTCTCTGGTTGAGAAAATTCGGACAGGCAAACCAGAGAGCTACAAAAACCTTCGCTTTACGGCGACGTTTTTTGGCTCTCGATTTGGGTGTTACTCTAAAGTATATGCATTTCTTGAAGTATGGTATCTGTTTTCACTCTTATTTATGATCTTTATTTACCTTTAGGGGGTGTTATTTAAGCATAAACCCATCACATAAAATAATATGTTGACGGTGCGACCGTTGGGGCGAGCGCATTGTTAATAATTAATTTTAAGATCCGCCTCTTCAAACCGTACGAGACATTTGGAACGTCTAGAACGTGATGACACATGAGGTCGTATGTTAGCTGCATTTCCATCAACGAAGTTTGAAAAGTGCGAAAATTTTAACAAAGAACGTAATCTACTATCTGTATTCAATATATATCCATTAAATTAGGGCGAGTTTATCTTTTGTGAATTTTTAGTTGTTGTTACCGCGCGAACGAAGTTAGTCGCGAGAACAACAAGCGATACATTGTGGGTCCAGAATTGATGCGGGAAAAAATTGTATTGCATAAATGTGCAGTAGTCCGAATTTTCTCTTCGCCCAGGTGTTGTCGTTAGAGCTCGCAGTGACGAGCGGCGCTTCGCGCCGCTCGCTGCGCTCGCTATCAACAGCAGTAAAGGAGAAACTTCAGGAGTACTTTTCAACAATATATTCGAGAAGTGGTGTAAACCAGATGTGGATACTTAAAAATTCCAAGGAACTTTTGGAAAATTTGAAATCACAAAATTTTACCAAAATCAATAACATAAAAACTTACGACTTTTCAACTCTGTATACAACCATTCCAAATAATAAATTAAATTTCGGGCTTTTTGACATCATCAACAGCTGCTTTTTTAATAAAAATGGAACTCTTTAATTTACTTACCTTGTCATTGGTCATTTGCAACACTATTTTGTTAAAAAAAACCACTTGTACACATTGTACACACAAATACTCTGAAGTTGACATTAAAAAGATGCTTGAGTTTCTTATTGATAATATTTATGTGGTTTTTGGATACCAGGTCTTCCAACAATCTGTTGGAATTCCCATGGGTACAAATTGCGCCCCGTTGCTAGAAGACCTATTTTTGTATTCATATGAAGCAGAATTTATTCTAAATCTTATACATGAGAAAAAGAAATCTCTTGCTGTGGCCTTCAACTGGACATTTAGATATATCGAAGACGTATTATCAATTAACAATAGTTATTTCCATTCAGATGTGAACACGATATATCCCAGTGAGCTTAAAATAAAAGATACCACAGAGTCTGACACATCTGCTTCATATTTGGATATTTTACTAGAAAAAGACGTTAATGGTAATCTAACAACAAAGCTTAATGATAAACGTGATGACTTTAACTTTTAAATCGTCAACTTCCCTTACTTATGCAGCAATACACCCTCATCACCTGCATATGGGGTGTGTATCTATCATTTGATTGGATACGCCAGAGAATGCTCTACGTTTGAACAATTCCTAAAACGAGGTAAGTTATTGACAAACAGGTTGATGAAACAAGAATCTCAACAGCCTCGTTTAAAGTCATCATTTCGTAAGTTCTATGGTCGATACAATGACCTTCTCAGCAAATACAACTTATTATTAAATCATATGCTGACTGACGTTTTTCATACAAATTGTTACGCCATTATTTACACACTGGATTGTCGACGGAGTTTTCAGATCATGACAAGGAGCACAGGGCGGATGTGACCGGTCGGCAGGGGATGCTCAATCCTCCCTGGCACCTGATCCCACCTCTGATATTTTTGAAGGTCCGTGTTTGCTCTGCTCCCGATTTTTATAGTTTTAATAGACTTTGAGCTTGAATACTGTTCGATATCTCCATATTTCATGGATTGGTGGAAAGCTGACATTCCAGGGTTATATTGGGCTGTTTGTAATCGTTGAAAGGTAAATAAAGTATAAGGAATACAAGTAAAATAGGGTTGATTAAATTATATCATCCTTAAGCAGGGAAACATAAATAATACAAGAAATAATACCCGAAGCGAGGGACAAAAAAGTGTCGCCGTAAATCGAAGGTTTTTACAATGCATGGATCTATAGTTCTCTGGTTTGTCTGTTTATTTTTTTTTTTCAATCAGAAAGCTCCATTTCGACAGCTTACACAAGATGTAGTTATGAAGATTTAATAGGTATCGTTATAATTGACAAGTCAATCGGTAAATGCATTTACAGTCAAAAAATTAAAAGCCTTCAATGGGTTTAACATTTTAAATAACTTAAAAGTTCTTTTATAATACATATAAATTCAAATTATCTCAATTATAAATGTGGAGCCTATGCCATGATCCAAATTTAACAAGATGCGAATTAACCAGTTTGGTCTTTAAATCAGGTTCGATAAACAAAGTATTTTTCTCTCCAAACTTACGTCTTCGAAAAGGAGGTCACACTCATGATTTAGAAAGGATAAAACTTTAATGTTTAATGATTTTTATGTCCCCGTATCGAATATTCGGGGGTATATAGTTTTTGTCCTGTCCTGTCCGTCCGTATTCCTTGTGATAAGACCTTTCTTTGGGTACCATCATAGTTGACCTTTTGACCTTGGGGTTTGACCCTTTAAATATCAACCACTTTGACCCTTTGACCTTGACCTTGGAGTTTGACCTACTTTTGAAAAACTTTAACCTTGACCATAACTTTTGAACAGTTGATGCTAGGGCTTTCATATTTCACATGTGTATCCCTTGTGATAAGACCTTCCTTTGGATACCAACAACTTTGACCTTTTGACCTTGATCTAAGAGTTTGACCTACTTTTGAAAAACTTTAAATTTGGCCATAACTGAACAATTGGTGCTAGGGCTTTCATGCTTTATATATGTAATCCTTCTGACAAGACCTTTCTTTGGATACCAACCACTTTGACCCTTTGACCTTGACCTAGGAGTTTGACCTACTTTTGAAAAACTTTAAACTTGGCCATACCTTTTGAACGGTTGGTGCTAGATCTTTCATACTTCATATATTTGAAGCTTGTGACAAAAACTTCCTTTGGATACCAACAACTTTGACCCTTTGACCTTGACCTTTCAGTTTGACCTACTTTTGAAAAACTAATTTTGGCCATAACTTTTAAACATTTAGTGCTAGGGCTTTCATACTTCACATGTGCATTTCCTTTTGATACCAACACTTTTAGCATTAACCTTGACCTTGGAATTTGACCTACTTTTAAAAAACTTTAACCCTGACCATAACTTGTGAACGTTTGGTTCTAGGGCTTTCATATTTCACGAACATGTGTATCACTTGTAACAAGACCTTCCCTTAGGGACCCATTTGAGCTTGCCTTTGACGTTCTACTTACTTTTAAAAAACTTTAACCTTGGCCATAACTTCTGAACAGTTGGTGCTGGGGCTTTCAAATTCCCATGTATATTCCTAGAGACAAGACCTTTCTTTGGGTACCAACATTTTTGATCTCTTGACCTGGAGTTTCACTTGCATTTGAGAAACTTTAACCTTTACCATAAGCTGCCATATGGGGGCATCAGTGTTTCACAAACACATCTTGTTTCTTTTAAGATGAGGTCAGATTTTATATTGCACTGGAAATGATCATTTGAGACAGAAGGTAATTTTGTTTTTCAGTGTTTTATATGTATATCGCGTTATATTTTTAAATCTATTATTTATCAGGCACAAGCGCAAGATTCCAGAACTATATAATTTCATTTAATCTATCATGTCATTCCCGTAGGAAACCTGTGCAGTAGTCATTCATATATAGCTTAAAGATGTGAACATTATAATCACAATGGTTTTACCAAAAATAAGATTACTGCTGGCTGAACTCACAGCCAGAATCACATACGACGATTTGTTACCTGGGAATTTCCGAAACAGCTATGGTCGTAATAAAAATGAAATTAAATCCCGAATATGACCTTGAACTGAGGATGTTCTGTCAAACAGATGAGGGAGAACAAAGAAATCGTGGCTCATTTCCGATGAATCTTGAAATGGTTGCAAATTACTTTTTCAGAGCTAAATCAATTTCCTCTGTCACTTTTATTTCTCTCTATTTTGTTCCATCTGTTATTAAGACTAAGTCCATGTAACTGTTTTAAATGGTGGAAATGACGATTATATGACTTTTGTCCTCCTCGTTCTTCAGAAATGTTAATGTTTATAGCATTATTCTGACGCATTATCCTAATTGAAATTCACCGTACAGCAGGAAGCAAAGCATTTTTTTTTTCAAACGGGCTATAAATAATCATTCTGAAAAGTATCACCCACTGATTGGAAATGGACGTTTATTTAACAGGTGAAAATCTCTAACGATGTAAAAGTATCATACCAGTGTAAAAAGGGCCTTTAACATACGACATTTGTCATCGTTTTTCATTTTGATGTTTTATGTTCATTTATCGTTCCTTGATAGAAAAATGTTGGATAATCCTATAAAGGCATTCTGTCTATCGTCGGTAAACTTTAACATTTTTGACTTCACCAAACCATTGGACCAATTAATTTCAACCAAACGTACCGAAAAAGGCACTCTCTACCATCGGTTCATACATTCACTCCTGTCATTGGCTCGCGTGTATCACAGTGATAAGCACAAGAAATAAATATTACGTTTGCTTTAATTCATTATCATTAAATGCTTGCACTAATGGTAGATATTTATTAAGTAGATATAGAAACTATATGTTTGATTTGAATTAACCCTTGGAATATCACGATTTTTACTTTATGTCAAATATCTCGACGCTAGTTAACCCGTTGTATAGGTGTCTGAGAGAGGAACGAACGACAACTCTAAGAGGGAGATTGGAACAAAAGGTTTTGTAAGGCCAACTTTGAAAGAATGTTCGTTGCCCTCTCCCGACTCAGGATGAAAAAATTGGGTCGTAAATTTTTTTCTCCAGAAAATTTCAATTTCAATGCAGAATTTTTAAAAATCTATTTCCCAGAATGCATAAAAATAATTGATTCTTGGAGCTTAAAAAGTTTTGAGTTGGGCCATTTTTAGCCAGAAGGAGAGGGCAACCAAACAATTTTTTAAAGATGGCCTTATTTAAAAGAAAATCTTCTCAATAAGCACTTGCCCATAAAGATACAAGTTACGTGAAAGCTTCCTAAATATGAGTTTGATCAGATCATTGCCCCTGAGGCTTGCCTAGGGCGACAAAAGGTCGTGAAAGTTTTTAGTTATATTCCATATAGGCGAAAAGGCTGTAGCTTACACATCATTTTCTTAAGTTGAAAAGTTGATATACTGCAGTATGGTTGAAAATAGGGAAAAGATGATCACAAAACTTGACCATGATTTCGTTTGACGTCAAGTTTTATATAAGAATATCTAGCAAAAATCTATAAAAAAAACTTCTCAAGAACAGAAGGGCACCATTTATCACATGAAAAAAAATTAAATAATAACAATTACATGTAGTTGAAGGTGGCCATAGTTTTCAAAATTGTTCATGTCCAATTTCTAAAACATTCACATTAATTTCCTCTACATTAGAAATAAATGATAAAAAAAATTCGGGTTTTGATTTAAACAAATATAAATATGTTACTTTTAGGTCTGTAGAAAGTTTGTCAGTGTTCCCTCAATAAATTTGCTAGTATATACTATTCATTAGAAAACATAGCTTCATATAATTTACTGTTTTACCCACTCAAATACGACCGAGGAACTTTTTCTGAAATTCTGTGAGGTTATGCCCCCGACACCCCCCACCACCACCACCACCACCACCACCAAAGTGAAATTACTTCTAATAGACCTAGTTTTGTATATAAAATAATGAAATTGCCACTTTATGAAAACACCAAATATAGTCTTGTAATAAAAAAATATGTTAAACCCAACTCTTTCTAATTTTTTCTACATATGTACACACTAAAGATTGCAATTCATATTGATTAAATAAGTATGCCTCTTCTTGAAATTTATATTTAAATTTGTGTTCACAGTAAAGGGTTAAAGTGTTATACAGTAAGTAATTTAGTAATTTTTTAAAGAGAAAATTTGTAAAGTGTGATATGGAAAAATTAATAACACGTGTTCAAATATAAAATCATTGGGTTCTCAGATTAATTTTGGATGTAATTAAATGAATTTGCAGTGTATATAAGGGTTGTTCACATTTACACTCAACAGTTTTTTTTTATTACAGCAAACACAAGCCTATTCCATGGATTTTCCCAACGATTAACGAGGATTTTCTTATAGTGTGATTTGACGTCAAATCCGGAAGGTATCCAAATCAATCTAACCCCCTTCCCACCCAAACCACTTTGGAGCATAAAAGTATAAATCACGTAAATCATGTTAGATTTTTTTCACTTTTTCTAAGAGGGCCTAAAAGGGGGGGGGGTCATTGCACATGCCGTTATCCCCTAGAATTGACTGTCTGCATTCTTCATGGTATTCATTCCTTATTTCTACTGCAAACTGTTATTATATTTCATTATTTATAATTTTTTTAAAGCAAAGATCGATGAACCAATAGAAGAAACAAGAAAAAAAATGCATTACATAAAATATGGTCTGGGTTCTTTTATTGACAGATGGGATGATTTCTTGTATAAGTTTAAACAATATTTATTCAAAATATTGAATTATATTGGGCAACAGGCATACAATGCCTATAAATACCCTCTCTATCCTAGAAGTGTATGGATAAAGCTGGAGGATGAAAGTATATGTAGAAGGCAGCCAATAGTTCATTAATTCTATTTTGATGCAATGTTTATGGGCGGCGGAAAGGGTAAAAAAGACGTTATTGCAAAACGAAAAATCTATTTTGCAAAAACACATATTGAAACATAACCAAACAGCTTAAACTCAATTGGAAAACGAACGATCATCGATGTAAAAAGAATAGTCATAATCTGAATTAACGCTAGAGGGCACGCGTCTGGAAATTAGAGGAAACCATAAACATGTCTCTGTATAATTTGATTTTTTTTATCTATTACATGTAAGATATTTCTTTGCACTGCTGATCAATGAGTAGCATTATAGACATGTACATATATTTTGTATAGTTTTATTTAAAAAAATATATGTGAGTTGATCACAGTTAAATCAACACAGCATGGAAATGTTTGCAAATTAATGGTAATAGTTGTGTTTCTTTAGATTTTTTATTTAAAAAGTCTTACAGTAAAACACGCTTATAACGAAGTGTCAAGGACGAGCGATTTTGCTTCGTTAAAATCTTAACTCTTCTCTTATAATTGTTAAAGTTCATAATATGTTTTAAAGCCATGTGGAATGAAATAAATTCTCTGTAAGCGTCAATGCATAATAAGCTTGTTCACTATAAACGTCACCTTTTTTGGCCCAGTGGTTCATGATGACACCACCCTATTTTTTTACTTTTCTTGATTGTCTCCCCTTGGAAGCGGGCTTGAGCTTTTATTTGAACAATTTAGAATCCCATTTACCAAAAGATGCTTTGTGCCAACTTTGGTTAAAATTGGCCCATTGGTTCATAAGAAGTTTAAAATGTGAAAAGTTTTCAGATGGACAGACAAACAGCTAGACGGAAGGACGCCGGGCAATGAGTGATTAGAAAAGCTCACTTGAGTTTTCACAAAAACCTGAAAGTTGAAAGACAATTAATTAACTTCTATCAAATTTTACTCCGTATGGTTTACTGTAATTGTGTGCATTATTATATGAATGATCAGAGCGATGATCTGAACTTAGTTCATTGATTTATCAATTAACGAGTAGTATTATGCAATGAAGAACAGTTGGTAGGGGTTAAATATATGTTTTCATTATCTTACAATCATTATTTTTATAAAAGTTATCTCCCTTATCAGACGGTCAATGTACCTTTATTCTGCCTGATGTACAAACATTGGCAAAGAGTGGCGTTATGCGCTCTGGTATGACTTTGTTGATATACAACAAAAGCTAATAGACAAAGGCTTTCACAGTCGGAGGTTTATATATATACTCCCAAGATTTCTTAATAATTTCACGCGTTGCATGGGGGAAATAATGGCACGGATCCAGCTTCCAGAGAGCTTTTCCAGGGGCGCGTGACGCGTGCGCGCATTCACACAGTTGTGAACGACCGTTTTTCTGATTAATCTCCGGAACAAATAACAAGCCATTTTCTTTCGATAAGTAACAGTATTTAATAATAATGTATAATTATTACAAGGAATTATCGAAGACAACTGATCAGCAATAAATCTTCATTTGTGTTGTTGTCAGACATATTCCAGTATAGTATACCGATTCTCATTAACTCTAGTTTGAAACATTTTCTTAATCTTTTGATCTTTTTCGTTTTTCCGAATGTAAACAAAAATTGCGAATGTTTTCTATCTAATGCATAGCGATAAATTGATACGCGGATGGTGCTTGAGACGTCGGGATTTATCAATCAAATGATAACAAACAGGCATGTGTTCCGAGTGCACTGGTCTGCCTCATACTGTACCTGAGGGGGTCTGGGGGTGTAGAGAAGCAGTTCTTCGGTGCATGACTGATATGTGATTTCGAAAAATTTTAAATTTTGTTTTTTGTTTTTTTGGAAAAGAAAGCCCATATTTTTACTGTTATTATTAAATGTATCATCATAACAATGTAATTTATGTTGTATTTTATATGTCATATGTATTATATTTTATATATCATCATTTACAAGCAAAGAATGATTGTATTACTTATTTAGATAACACCATGGTTGTGTCTATTCTACAGTACAAATCATGAAAATGCAAAGACACTTTAAACTGATCTGCAGTCTGTTATAAACTTTTGCATATGATACAATAATTAGAACAATCTCCTAGAACAATCCGTCAGGAATGCGCTCAGCACGCGCACTGATGCGGTAACACGTGGCTCACTTACAGATGTCGTAATTAGAGGCGTTCCGTGTCATCTCGTTAATGAGCAGGTGAGTCAGGAATCAATCATTCCAATCAAAACAAATACTCACATGTCTACGGAAAAATCCTGAGGAATATACTTTTTAAAAAATTTCAATTTTAAATGTTTCCTAAAATAAATATTTAACCAAGGAACTATGCTTTAGTACATTAGTACTTGCATGCGTGGCGGATCAAGAATTTTCGAGTTTTGAATAGTGGAGCATTGAATAATCAGGAATGGGAAGGCTTGTTGTAGTTCATATAGAATTATTTCAGATTTATTTGATTGAATATCTTTATCGGATTATAAAATCTCTCAGACCACACATTGCTTGTAACCATGGTAATGCTGAAATGCCTCCGATACGCTTAACTTACGTGGGAAATTAGGAGGAGGGGGGCACAATGTACTTTTGATCTGAGCACTGACCTTTTTAATGGTGAGCTGCTGTCTGAAGTCCTGACCCCCCTGGAGCCGGAATCCCCAGGGTTCCATCACATTCTGCTTACTCATCTGAATATTCATCGTCGTCATCTTCCCAAGACAATGACCACTGTCACAATGATTAAGGAATCCTTTCCCAAGAAACCAGGCTTCTCCTCACATTCAGCACTTTACGAGGTAGGATTGTCGAGGAGGAATACAGAGAGTTATTAATAGAACTCACTCTCCTCCCTAGATCTACAAATTGTTCTCCCAGGTAAGCGATGTTTTCGACAGTAGATGTTACTCTGTGAGATTCTGCAGACGGCGCTACGTAAACAATTGTTGGATCTCTATCACATTCCGATAAATTCCGGCAGGTGCCATAAAAGGAGATCCCAGAACGGGTCACGGTATCAGGGATTTATCAAAATTTGTAAACACACATTAAAAAATAATACTGAATGATTATAACTGTAATCCAAAGTATAGGTTCAAAAGATATATTTTAATACGTGTTCTCATAACGACCCCCCCCCCTTCCTTATGTTCATGCAATAAATGAAACACAAATCACATCGCTGCTTATGGGGCTTGTGTCTACGTATGCTGCCTATATTAAAGCATTAACATATACATAATATACGTAGTAAAAATGGTTTTAAGGATATCCTCTCCTCAGCCAGGAACAATAACTCGTATATTATTTAATTGAAACCGTGTCAAAATGAAGTTTGAAATACTTCGTATTTCCACCATGGAAGATTTATAGTTCTTAGTGCGCTCTTATTTAACAACAAAATAAAAATATATTTTATAATTTAGTGAGTAAAAATTAACACATCCTCTGGTTATTAATCATCTTTCAGTTATAACCGGACAAGAATTTTGCAGTTTTCTACCAGTGATCTTTACCTTGTCAGAGAGACCTTGGATCAAGATCATGACACAGCTATGGATCATAAGCAATCTCTGTATCAAGGAAGAGCTCCCAGCGATTTTATATTACAAAGTTATTATAGCATGGACAAGAAATTAATTTTTTATCTGCTAGTGACCTTGAACTTACCAGAACAACCTTTGTTCAAACTCAGGACAAACCCTCGATCTCAAGCAATCTCTGTTTCAATAAAAGTTTTTAGTAATTTCCCCTTATAGATTTATTGCTCAGACAAGAATTTTATTTTTCTGCCAGTGACCCTGAACTTGCCGGAATGACCTTAGTTTAAAGTCAAATCAAACCAGTGGATCATGATCAATCTTTGTATCAAGTATGAGCTTTAAAAGGTATAGCCCAGATAATAATTCTACACTTTTCTGACAGTGACCTTGAAGTTGCCGGAATGACCTTAGGTCAAGGTTAAGACACACCACTGGATCATAAGCACTCTCTTTATCAAGTTTGAGCTTCCAGTGATTCTCCATTTACAAAGTCAAAGTTATGGCCCAGACAAGAATTTCATATTTTTTATGCCAGTGACCTTGAACACCCGTGCCCCCCCCCCCCCCCGGTTCCTACGGCCATGAGTTTAGACTGTCTGTTTGGTGCTAAATCTATTATGGCGACATAATTGATTTAAACTCAATTTTTTCCCGTACTTTCCTTCTGTAATTGAATTATGTAGAAAATGAAGCATTTTCATGGCGTTCAATTTGAAATCATGTCAAAAGTAACCCCGACACCTATGTTCAATTAAATATCATTTTAAAGTAAATCAAGAAGATAAGAAAAAACGTTTTCTGGGAGACTGGACAATATTGATATATTTCCTTTCCTAAAATGGAAAAAAAAACTCCAGAATTTATACCTAATTTTCTTCATTTTGCATTGAAAATGCCGGTTTAAAATATGTTTTATTCGTTGAGTTTACCTAAAAATTATGTCCCGATACACCTTATTTTACCAAGCTATATTTGGAAAGGATCATCAAAAGAACTCGTTTTCTCAAATTTGAAAAATCTGTAGGCACCTTTCATTTACTAGATCTTGACCTTAAGCTTCATTTTAGTCTAAAATATATTAATTTGGTTTATAATTTTTGTATGCATGGCCGTAGGAACCGGGGGGGGGGGGACTGGGGAACTATTTGGTAGTTGATAGTGCCCCTTCGACTCAAAATGTATGGCTGTGCCACCCCCCCCCCCCCAAAGTGAAATTGCTTCCTACGGGCCTGGTATGTATCTTTTTTATTTTTGAGAATCAAACATGGATTTTTCCTTTCTAGTAATAGTAAAAATGACGACTTCCGTTCGTTGACAATTGAAATGAGGAGTTGCAGGTGTAAAACATGAAAAATCCCAGGTTTGGAATTACATTTGGACACAAATTAGCGATGCATCAATTTATCAATAATCTCTGAAGTGTCGAAAGTCGTCTGTCGAAGTCGCCAACCTTGTTCTCTTATAGTATTAGAGAGTGTAAATTTTTATTAAAGGTTAGTTTTAAGTTAAATTCTGGATTTTTCAATTGTATTGCTTCCTGAATGTGTGACTGAAACTATTTTCTATATTAAAAAAAAAAAACATCGAAGAACCCTTGGGGTAAGGGGGGTTCCGTCCCCAAGCACCTTTGATTTTAATAAGTTCCACTGTTTCACAGTGTCAGGTGTAAAGACGAATAATGCCCCCATAGAATAATGACCGGGGGTCATTTTTTTCGCCGTCGAATAATGACCCTTTTGCACGTAGAAAAAGTGTCATCACCCTAAAAATTTACATACCCCACGTGAAGAAAAATGACCCTCATAGAATAATGACCCCCTTTGGATTAAAGCGGATTCAAGTTGAAATTTTAAGGTGGCAAAATAAAAATAATAAATCAAGAGACCTGTTGGCCAAAATGCTCACTTGAGCAAAATTGGGAATAAATCGATGATATGTTGATCTCATTACATTATACAATTATTGCTGTTTTTAAGGTCAATGCGATGTTTCAGAATCGAGGAGCTAAAGATTCATCGGGCCCAAAGGGCGAGGAAATCATTGTTTTTCGAAAATCACTGATCGTCCTGACAGAAAAAATCAGCAATGATTGTTTAATAATATGATTCAACGATTAAATTGATACAAACTGATTAAGCAGACATGTAAAGTTTCTTGTTTACATTAGTAGTATAAGCAGCCTGGATGGGCGGGTCAACTGAGTGCACTTTTTGTCCCCCCAGATCCTGGATGGGCGGGTCAACTGAGTACACTTTTTTGTGTGCCCTGGGTGGTTCAACACACACACCCTGGAAAAACCCAAGCAAAAGGGGAGTTACGTTTGATCTACGTTTGTGCTGAGTCAGGCATAGGCATTACACACAAAAACTTGGCATCGATTCAAATCACAGCTCGGTATGCATTGTGACGTCATGTGTGTCATTCACACAGAGCTCTCTCTCTATTTTCTGAAAACGGAAAAAACAATAACACAGTAAAGTGTGTAAGATGATTTATTCAAATAATGTGTACATAATTTTACTTTTTCTTCTGGAGTTTCAGGGTCTTCTCCGTCTGGGTAGCAGAAAGTTTTCTCTTGTTGTTAACTGGAATCTGCTTTTGATCCTTACTAGTCTCTATTTTCTTTTCTAGATTACCAATCTCATTCATTATCACTCCTAACACAAGAATTTCAGTAATCATGTCTTGTTTAAACTCACAAATAGTCTGTTGAAGTATCTCCATTACATTGGTCATTTGATCTAAGATATCACATATCAAACTTCTTTCATTTCCTTCAATACTATCCTGTGTCTCTAGTATGGGTGCTGGTGAATTCATGGACTTTTCCTCTGCCATATTTCTACGTCTGTCAAGTTCCAAGTGCCCACTAAGACTGATCCTAAAATTTCCGGCTCTGCTTTATATACCCTTTTTCGTGTGCAAAAATAAGTTTGACTTACGTTTTGTACGTACTCTGTACGTCTCAATACGCAGTCTTGGATCAGCTACCTATGCATTGTGACGTCATACACTCTATAAATACAGCCTTTCTCCGACTTTCAGCTCATTTTGTTGTTAGATCTATCAAGATGAATTTTGATAGTGCATTGAAACAATTGTTACATGCACAACAACTTATGAGATGGAAAAAACGGGAGAAAGAATTAGAAAGAATTATTTCTCGACAGAGAACTAGAGAATTAGTTCTCAGGAAAAAAAATGCAAGACTGGTAGAAAGAATCCAGAGATCCAAAGCCAACCGAGCTCAACACCTACAACGTTTACGGAATCTACCTGAAGAAGAACCTTCTCCGTCTTCATCACCACCTTATTCACCACCCCAGAAGCCAAAGGCCATTTCCCAGTATTACCAAATGAGACTCAATAAAGCTAAGCATTCCAGAAAATTTAAAGCTAAAGAAGATGTCTACAGTGTGAATTTTAAAGAATTTCCAGAGGAGGAAAACAGAGGATTTGTTCGGCGATTATTTAAAGACATGCTACAGAATGTCAAATATCAAATGCAGTGTAACCCTAACGATTATGTACGCCTGAACATTCACCACCCTTCTCTGGATTCCGACATTTGGTACGAGTTTACTCAATGTAAACATTTGAACGAGGACGTCATTTTAAACAAAATAGAAGCCGTGCAACAATCCAAGAAAGATTTTAAACTGAGAGACGGGTCTATGGAATTCGACATGTTTCATGTCAAATATCCAGAAGGCAGTGGTGGACAGAATACCAAACACCTGATGGTCAATAAGGAGAGTTTTAAGAAGAATAAACGATGCATCGATCAGATCGACAATCCTTGGGATAAATTTTGTTTAGCTCGAGCCATTGTAGTCACCCGGTTACACAGTCAAAAACCGGAAAATCCAGAGAGTTTAGTTGAATGGGAAAAACAATGGCTACGTATGCGGAAGGGTGATGTAAGAGCTAATGACCAGAAAAAATGAAGCTATAGCTCTCATGGAACAAGCCGGGTGTGACATCCATCAGCCTTGTGGACCCGAAGAATGGGGGAAATTACAACAGGTGTTAGCCCCTCGCTATCGATTGAAAATATTTCAGTTCAAGTCCACCTCCTCTAAACTCAGTTTATAGCCCCTTTACAAAGGCTGCGGAGATGGAACTTGTTTAAATGTTTTGTTAGACGACCATCATTACGATGCTATTTTATCTATGCCAGGTGTGACGGGCAATCAATACTATTGTGATCATTGCGATGTGGGGTACAGGAACATTACAGAGCATCGTACCAAGTGTCCTTACCGCTGTTCCTTTTGTTTAACGGACACTCCCTGCCCTCCAGACGGGAGCCACATTCAGTGTAGCCAGTGCCAGGGATTTTTTCAGAGCAGAACTTGCTACGAAAACCATTTACGACCTCACAGTAAGAATACGGCCACAACGGTATGCAGTTTAATGGGACGATGCGAGCATTGTGAGAAATGGATGCCTAAACGATTACTCCGTCATCATCATTGC